ATATACCAGCTTTAGCTAACATGGATGCTAGCAGCTTGCAGACAATGGAGCCTCTCTTCCTCATCTTGCACTGCTTGCTGTAAGGAAAGTAGGGAATGACCCCGATGATGTTCTTGGCACAGGACGTCTTTAGGGCATAAGCCATAACAAGCAGCTCCATGACAGCTGTGTTGACATCTCTGAGCAACACAACATCAAAAGAAAGAAAGACATAAGAGACCATATCAGGTGCCACGGACTGTAAGGTACGGGTATGGAATATTGAATCTAGGGACAAAAAATACAGAACGATGCTTTATAATTATGAGATGAAAGAGACTGTTCGGTCTGCCATTAAACATTTGTTTGCAAACATCATGTCCACAGACAGTGCAAACACCACTGTATCTGAACAAAGGTTCACTTTTTTATTTTATTTGCATCGTTTACAAATAACCTGCACCATCGAAACAGGTTTTTCCTGTGAACCCCAGAGAAGAACAGCTTTAAAAGTCAGCTAACGTAAATGACAAGTTTGACTCAGGAAAAACATTCGCACGTAAGAAAAGGTCTAACAGATGATCCATAGTAACTACACATCAAAACTGTGCTGTGATGACGACTGTCAGGAAAGTTATTTATATTATTATTAGACCAGTTTGACTACTTTTGTTTTTTGTTTTTAATGGCAAGACACAACATGTAGATAGGCAGGTGACTTATCTGCTGCCTCTGTGCACACTCAATAGGAGAAGCGCTAGAACTCGACAACACTGAATACCTCTGGTTGTTTTTTTAGAGCCAGTCTTTTTGTCATAGCAAAAGAATGACAAACAAGGTGGAAAACTCACCTCACATGACATGAAAAGGCAAACTTAACTGAGTCACAGCACAAAAATAGATATGCTTTGAATCCTGTTAGAATTCCTAGTAACTATCTGAGGTCATATCTAGATTTTAAAAAGCTGGCCATGTTATTGTGTTGCATAAAGGGCACGTGCTTATAACATTAAACTTTGAAAACACTCTGAGTTCAGTAATAAGGTACTTTAGAACATTAAATAAATAGATTAAGAGTTGTGTCTGATCAAAACTTTATTATTTTATCAAAGCATAAAGTTGTCTTAGCTGATGTGTTTACAGTTAATTGGTCATTTACATATCCAACAGAAAGTGATACATTTGCACTCATTTGGGGTCATCTTTTTCGGTTCCACCTAATCCAGAAGTGAGAGTGAACGGTTGGTTCACTCTCACTTCTTGTAAAACATATACATTCACTGGCCACTTTATTAGGTATGCCTAAGCATCTCAACAACTCAATGTCATGCAGACATGGTCAAAACCAGCTAACTTTTCAAGCTAATCTAAGCTTTTTTCATTTGTTTGTCCTTTTGTTTTTTCTAGCTCAATATTGGTGTCGCTGGATGATAGACATTTAAGAACACCAAATACTACCTTTAAAGATGAATCATTTTTCTTTTTTTTTTGCTAAAGACATCTGTCTCACCTGGGAATGGTCTGAATGATAAAGATGTCTTGTCCACGGACAGATTCTTTCACATCCACTCTAGTCTCTGAATAAAAAGCACAGTTTTTATGTATTCATGAGTTACTGTGGCAACAGGAAACCATAGTTCATTAATATTTGACATTAAATGCTTGGCCTCACCTGAATCTGACTCTTGATAAACCACTGACTTGCCCAACTCCACCCCCAAACGCCTGGGGGAAAAAACCAGAGTTAAAAAAAACATACCTTGGTGTACTGCACTAACTGAAGCGTGTAAATATTATTTTTGTACTAAGACACTATTTTCTGCCCAGCAGTTTGATAGCTCTCCCTCTGAAGAACTTCAAGAACTAAAGTTTAAAATTATTACATTATTGTGTGGAAATAAACCTTATATTTTGGCTATAAACATCGTGTGTGTCAAAATCCATTTATCTAGGTGAAATGATCAGTTTCTTAAATGATTTTAAGAAATACATTTAATTAACAAATAATTTTGGTCACTGATAACTGACCTTTTCTATTTTCTGATATAAATTTAGAAGTTTGAACTTACTGGTGAGACAAAATTTCTTTAATTGTTTTATCCCCCTGGATCACATCATAAAAATTTTACTTTGTTTCTTTACCGTTAGTCTCAAAGGTAAACACCTCAATTTGGGCTCTGATAAGTTGGCGGTTCTTAAAAAAAAAATTATAAATCTTAACTAGAAGAAGCTATTTAGGTCAAAAAGCAACAGCCAAAATGCAAGCAGAGAACCCATCAGTGTGTACTCTACACTGCTGCCTCACCTTGTTAGCATTCATAAATCTCAGACTTTTTCAATTTTTTGTTATGACAGTACCATAAAGTAGCCTAATCAAAACAGGGGATGAACATATGGGACATTCTCCTTAAGTCTTTTTCTTTTTCCCGTTCATAGAAAGATATATTTGTCTAACCAGGGAAGGTTTCAAGCATGTTGTTTTCCTTTCATCACATCCAGTGAAGAATAAAAATAAGGATGCTTTTGTTCCAGTCGTATTCACACCCAGCCTCTGAGTGCACGTTAGCATAAATATTCAGTACAGTATTCATTAATATTTTTCTCTCCATTTTCTCTGTCATTTTTTAAAACCTTTGCTCCCCAAGAAAACACAGCATGAAAACGCAAGCATAATCTGGCAAAAAAAAAAAAAAAAAATTTCCTGCAACTTTGCCAAGCACTGAAAACTAAGAAACATTGATTCTTTCCCCTCCCTACTGGGTGGGAAGTGCAACTTCCATCTGGCTATCTGACAAGGCTACAGGAGCAAAAAAACAAATAAAACAAAAACAACAAAAAAATAAAGGATGCTTTCAAATTACAGTAAGAGAACCACTTGTTTTTAACCAAAGGAAACACTGCCTTGTGTACATGCTCTATGAATCACAGCCAATTAAGTATTTTGCCTATCACAGTAATACCCAGTAGTAAATCTATACCATGCTTACTTCGAAGACAGACCTGGATCTGAAAAGCATACTCCCTTTGTAACAATGATTACCACTGACAGGTTTATCTCTCATTGCAGAAAAAAAACAGATTTGTGATTAGCTAATAAAAAAAAATCTTCACTGTACAGTGCCGTCCTCAGTGTTTCGTTACTATGTAATAGCACTTCAAAATAAAATGATTTTTAGGAAAAGTGGCAGGTTTGGTTATGTTGACCATTGAGGTACATAAATTGGACCATACATAAATTCAAGTTTTACAGCCAATAAGCTGATTAAATAGTTACACAGCATGCAGTGACATCTGGAATCAGTTATCAAAAAGTAAGATAGGCAGTTTAGTTGAAGTAAATATCAATACTTTTGCAGATTTACTGTCACATCTTCAGGTACAATGAGGTGATGCATATCCACTTAATTGGATTTTCTTAAAATGTTCAGTGCAAAGTCTTTTTTTTAATCTCCGTTTCTAAAGCTTTTATTCTTTGGTTCAGTATTTGCCATAAAACTTGTTGAAGTGTGTTAAAAGGACGTTTTGAACATGCATTACGTAATGTACGAATGTAGGCCATGTACACTGGGTCACACTACGCTGAGCAGTTACACCATCATCTTGTGGCGAGAGTAGTGTGATTGTCATGCCTTGGTCCACAGTTTTCACAATAGTGATTGTTTTTGTCGTACTGAATTAAAAACAACGTAAAGTCACACGCGTGCAGCTGTAACGTGGTGTTTTGACAGAGACTTGGCTTGCTAGCAAGGCCATGTCAACATCACACACGAATCAACATGACTGTGTACTCATCGTTATTAAATCATTAAATATGTTGTAATGACACGAACACATTAAGTCAACAGTTATTAATTTCACTTACTCTGTTATCTTCTGGGCCAGCTCGGTGCATGCGGTGGAAGAGTTGGCAGAAAAAACACGGTAGCCACCTCTGGCAATGTTCATTTTCGTGTAACCATAGGACAGCTTTGGGGACTGAGACTGAGAAACCAAAGACCTGTGACCCCCAAAGCGTCTAACTGGCATGTTGGTTTGGACTCACTGTGGGCTCTGGTTTTGTTTATCTTAAAGTGCCCAATTTAGCTGAAAACCGACTACTATACTTGAATCTAGTTCGAGCACGTTTGAGATCTCAGCCTTGCAGACGATTCTTAAATTAATAAAAAATATAATAAACACTAAAACGCTACAACCAAAAACACTGTACATACGCTACACCAACAAAGAGCACATGCTCCACGTGTAATGTGGATGCAACGCTAGCGTTAGCGAATCAACGACCACCCACAAATCGCCAACCGCCACAGAAACCCCCACTCTACCACAGTCCACAGCAGATGGAAAGCTGAGCTCTCCGTTTCCATGCGGTCACTTACGTTGTGACGCATTCAGAGCAAACGCGCTGCTTTTCGAAACTATTAAGGGAACTGAAAGGTGCCAAAAGCAGCCTTGGGTACAGCAACAACCCGCTACTGCAAACACGTCGCCCGGATAATTAAAACGTAGCTGCGTTAAAACTTTCTGTATCTTAGCCGTCGCAGTAACAAAAAAACGCCGCGTGCACAAGCTCATTGGATGTGGGAAAGTCGCGACTGACAGCTGGAGGCCCAATCAGAAAGAAGTTAGAAATAGCAGGCGTGCGTGATTAAATTTTTAACCAATCAGAAACCGGGATTCGTATTACCTAAAATTAAAGCGCAACGGAGTAAAAAAGAAATGTGGTGGGAGCTGCGGGGATTGGTTTACCCCTCTGTCCCTGCACTGGACTGCAATGGGAAAAAAAGGATTCTTGCTTTAAATCGTATGAGACAACGCTGGAGCGAGTGAGTAATCGCTCGGTGTAAGGTGCAGTACCAGCAGATTAAAATAGGTTTAAAACAAAGAAACAAAAAACGCCCTCTGCATCAAATCATTTACAAAATACTGAGTTTTTAAGTTAATTTTACATTTCTACTGAAAAACATGTAATTTTACGATATTTTTTTAGTCTCTTTAAAAAGACATTTTTATTAATCCACATATTTTAGTACATGTGTGCAGGTTGTACAGACAAGTTACTGTCTTAGACAAGTAATTTCCCCATGGCTTGTTTGTGTGTGTGTGTGTGTGTGTGTGTGTGTGTGTGTGTGTGTGTGTGTGTGTGTGTGTGTGTGTGTGTGTGTGTGCTATTGCCTCCTGACAAGGTCTGCATTTGAGCTCCATTTTGATAAGCAAAACAAAGGAAAGAATTCATTTCTGGAAAATGAGAAGAAATACAGAGAAACATGTTACCTAAAAGTGACTACCCTCATCACTATAGTAGTTACACAACAAATCTAGTAAACAGTCTGCAAATTTGTGTAACATTTCCTAGTAAACACAACCTTGCATATAATGGGAAAGTAGCTTGCTCCATGTGAGGTCACACAAAAAGGTCCTTTTTTCAAGACCTAAGATGTTCCACCTCATGAGTTTAAATATTTAGGAGATTAATGTATGATGATGATGAATCACTTTATAACAGCACTATGACATGTAGTACATTTGATTCTAAAAAATACTGTGCTTGAATAAGAGGGGGTAAATGTAAACAATGTTGATTATAAACTGCCACACGAACACTCTTTACTATTTGTTTTATTTGCAGAATAGACATCATTGCCTTTTTTAGGTTAAAACAATTTGTTTATCTGCCTTATATTTTATACAACACATTGTGGGGACCCACTGTAAGGAAAAATAACATGTCAAGTTTGTTTTCTATATAATTTCACAGTAGTGCTATCATGTAAACTAAAGTAATCATAAAAAAAACACCAATGTGTACATCAGCAGAAAATGTTTTTTAAAAAGTGCTGCATTGTGAACATATATCTACCTTATATTGTAACTTTTATGGCTGACCGATCCCTACGAGGGATTAGCAACTTTAACAACTGCTTACAAAAAGGGTGCTAACTTTTCATTAATCAATTCATTAATATTTTATTACAAAGTAATTTTTATCAAGAACACAAAAAAAACCCAATTCTTACAATCTGAAGAATAAGGTGAAAGACTTCATGGCTTGTTTTAGTGTGAATTTTTGCATTAAAAAGTGCTTACCAGTCAAAATACAGCAATTTGTTCAGTAAAATATAGTTTTATTTTTATGTATGTTTTTTAAAATGCCTTCAGATAGAAAATGTTTAATAAGGCATATGTAAAGTAATTATCTGGGTAAATGCTACAGAGCTAAGAAACATTTAGGTCCACAACCCCAATTTCCTAAATATACAGGCTATTATGTATTTATTATGTTTGCTTTTTTTTCCCCATTCTAGCACTGCAAACAATTTTATATTCTCTGAAAAGAGCTTATAATGTTGTTGGTGTCATTCTAGGAAAAGGCTAGCTTTATTGACTTTTTATAACAGAACATACACAATGATCCTGTCTGCCAGTTCTGGCTCAGTGGATCACCACACCTAAGATGCCACACCACGCCTATTTATCCTTTCCATTACTTAATTTCAGCTACTGCAGTGCTATAAAAACCTAATTCAGACTGTCACGGGAAATAAAACTCAGCTAGTCTCTTAACATTTATAATAATTAGCGTGGGGCAGTTTGTGCCGGCTGATTGTTATAGATGCTGTCATTACCTGTATGTCAGTTCTGCAGCTGCTTTTAGTCTCCAAACTTTGTGCTGTTTTCAGTGCTTTATAGCTCATTTCTAATGAATGAATGCAAATCTATGTGCAAAAATATTCAGAGCCTTCGCACACCTGGATTTCTGAACTTAATTCCAATATTTCTGGTGGATCTGGCTTTGTTTTCAGTAAATTGGAGTCCCTAAAATGCATTTTAAATGCATAATTAAATTCATATTTAAATTCTTTATGGACCCTATTTCATAATGCTACCAGCACTATGTTTTACTATGTCTGGGGAAACAGGCCAGGTGGTTTTTATCAGTTTTGTCCTGTAAAAATAAATGATTGAGTGTACTTTGATAAGGAAAAGCCAATTTTACCAGTTTAAGACTATAAAACAAAAGAAAGTGCACATAAATAAGATGTCTGAACACTTTTTCAAGCAATTCCACACATTTGTCTAGGTAACCAGTATCTGACGCTCATAATCTTTTATTTCTAGTTTCACTGCATTCCTTCCTCTTTTTAGTGGATAACTTTGCCCCTCCCACTCCCAACCTCTGCAAATTTACTAAAAAGAAATGCATCAAAATGCAGGTGATAAAGTTTTAATTTGTCAGCCTTTCAGCACCTTCTCTTTTAAAAGGTCCAAGATGACCTGCCTCTCTTGGCTCTCAAGCTCAAATCTCCGCTCCCTCTCTTTTCTCTCAGCTCCCAGACGTTCTCTCTCCAGAGCGATCTTACCTGAAAACGTGAAGTGAAAATGGATATCAGCACAATGGCAGCTTGACAATCTTCATAAAATTCTTTTCAGATAAGTTTTAGAGGGTATTGTTTTCAGTTGAGTGGTATTCTTTTTATTAGTATAGACACTAGTATTTTTTTGTTGGTTTTTTTGGCAGGGATAGCTCAGTAGGTAGAGTGGTGGCCCCATGATTGGAAGGTTGGGGGTTCGAATCCACTGAACGGCTACCCTGATGTACCCCTGAGCAAGGTACCGTCCCTACACACTGCTCCCCGGTGCGTGCACTAGTGGCTGCCCACTGCTTCACTAAGTGAATGGATCAAATGCAGAGGAGTAATTTCCCCACGGGGATCAATAAAGTATACATTATTATCATTATTCATGCACACTTGCATTTTAAACATAACATGAAAACCTAAGCATGATGCTTCAGTTCTGCTGAAGTTCAGAATGAGCATCAGTCTGGGAAAAAAAAAAAGTTGATTTAAGTGGCTTTGAATCTGGCATGGCAGACAGGATGGTCTCTGTACTTCAAGAAATCCCCTGGGATTTTGCAACACAACCACCTCTAGGGTTTACGGAGAATGGCCAAAAAAGACAAAACATCCAGTGAAAGCAGTTTTCGGTGGGAGAAAATATGTCCCTGATGTCATTAACTCAATAGTAATTCAAGTAACATGTCAAGTAATTCAAATAACCACTCATTACAACCAAGGTATGCAGAAGAGCATCTCTGAATGCACAACACATCAAACCATAAAGCAGATGGGCTACAGAAGCAGAAGACCACACTGGATGCCACTCCTTTGGCTACAGAATCTGAGACTACAGTTTTGGTCACAAAACTCACCAAACTCAACAAAACTATAAAGAAGATTGGAAAAATGTTGCCTGATCATTTAAGTGTTGATTTCTGCGATGGTAGAACCAGAATTTGGCGTAAAAAACATGAAAGCATGGATCCACCCTGTTTTGTATCAGTGGTTCAGGATGGTAATGTTAATAGTGTGGGGGCATGTTGTCTTGGCACATGTTGCTCCTCTTAGTAGCATCTAGTATCATTTAAATATCACAGGCTACTTGTGTATTATTAGTGACAATGCCCAGTGAACAGAAGATTTGCGTCATATAGGGTCAGCCGACAAATCTGCAGCAACTGTGTGATGATTTCATCTCAACAGACCCATATATATGAGGAATGTTTCCTTGTTTAAAGTAATCCACACATAATTAAAGCTGTTCCGAAGGCACAAGGGCATTCAACCCAGTACTAGCAAAGTGTACCTAATTAAGTGCCCACTGAGTATTCTCATGCCTGGGCTACTGGAAATAAGAAATGAGTGGGAACAATTAAGCACATGTGAAACTAATGAGGGTGAGGCTGGCAAAAATGTAATAAATAAATTAATAACACTGAACTATAAAGGCTTACTAGACATGAAGACATAGACAGGGGAATAGAGAAAACAGCAACTAAGATAACTATAAGTATGAAGGTGATAACAAAACCGGCAGATATTACAAGGACTATGGCAAAAATCATACTTCTCTGAATCTCCAGTTCCTCTCGGCGCAAGGCGAGCTCTTCTTCTCGAAGCCGCTGCTCCGCCTCTGAGCGTTTCTCCAAGAAGCTGAGAATCTCAGAGTAGGTCTGGCAGCAGCACTGGCAGGGCCGCTTGGCTGTGGGTGCTGCTGACAGCTCTGTCATTTCCTCACGCTCTTCTTCTTGTTCTGTAATTAAATGAAAATTCAGGCTACTGTTCCTAAAGCTACCATAGCAGAAATAGAAAAATTTGATCTTTTTTTTAAAGGGTCTTTACCTTGAATCACAATTTTAACTGAAAAATCCTGGTGATTTAATGAGCGATAACCACGACACTCTGTAAACTGTCTTTCCCAGCTGTTATGACACTAAGATTTAGACATTAAACAGCATCTGTGACACCAGTGTGGATGGTTACACATCCTTTGCCCCTGTGTTTTGAATCTGCTCACCTGCAGTGGTTGTTTGCGGGATTGTGATGTTGGGTTTGTCCTGTTCTGGTAGAGTTAGTTCTTCTGCGACTCGATTTCTCCGCTCTTCATCCTAAGAAATATAAGGGAGAGATCTGTTCAACAACAAAGAATACATACATTTTACTCAATGTCTTTGCTTACTTTATGATTGTGAATATGATCCTTTGGGTAAAAATGCTGCAACAAATGACTTGAGCTTGATTGTGCTACATGTAGTGATTTTTAGCTGCTTCCTTATTTCCTAGATGTTTGATTTGAGAGATTTTTATGCCAGATGCCCTTCCTTTGTGACTTGTAATTCTGGGTATAAGCTAAACTATGAGCAGCAAAATAGGCAGATCGTTGCAGAGAATGTTAAAGTGTTTTCATTCTTAATGTTCCCATTAATCTGGTCAGCCATATTTTCATAAATCTGTAACTGTATAGAAAAAAAGTGAAATACTGTAACTTAAGTGATTTATCTACCCCTCTAAAGCAACCCTCTGAGGTCTATGTTGTAAAAAAGGGAAAAAAAATCACATTTTCTTCCACAGAAGAAAGCACCTTTCTCAAAAATACAGGGTTGCAGTAGGGTTGGGATTACGGTTATCACTTATGATGACTTAGGCCTTATTAAAAAAGGCATTTTTTACACTAGCATTGTAGTACACATACACATGCTCCTCTCTCTCTGCTGACACAATAATAATACTACTCACCTGGTACTTTGTGCCATCATTGCTGACTATGAGTCCCTTCTCAGCTTCCAGCTCCAAAACTTCATGGAGCAGATCCTCCTTCTGGGCATACAATCTCTCTGTTCCAAACCTGAGTAAAGGAAAAGCACACACGTGTGCTCAAACTAAAACTTGCTAGTAAAGCCAGTAGTGTACATCATGCATACGGTGCAAAGATTTCTTTACTCCTGGCTTTGGCATTGTGTTGACTGAACCAACCTGCGTAGGCTGGGAAAGTCTTGTTTCTTGTAGTAGTCTAGCAGCAGCATGGTTCTCTCCCTACATCTCCTGGCATCCACCTCAAAGTTTTCCTCTTGGAGGGCAGCAGTGATAATCTCACCCACGCGTGCCCAAATCCGTCCTGAAATCAATCAGTTCACACATTCATTAATGTATACAGGAGGTTTGTAATACCGACACATTTAACAACTTGAAGAAAATAAATTTATACAACTTTTTTTTTTCCCACCACACACATTTATCATGCAGAAAATGCAGTTGTCGGCATTCAAGCACAAGTCATTAAAAAAAAAGACAAACCTGGCTCTTTGGAGGCAAAGGGATTCTGTGCAATAACCTCTCGCAGAAGGATGATGTCATGGCGTGCTGAAAACCGCACCTGCCGCTTTCGTGGGGTTGTGGAAGGACAAGCGAGGGGGAAACCTTAAGATGGAAATAGAACAGAATAACTTTTCCAAAATAGTAGAAAAGAACATGCTGAAATACAGCAAGGTGTATTGGTGATCTGATATTCTTCATACACAGTGGGCTTAGTTAGGGTCCTCTTGACCTCTGACCTACTTGAAAATCAAACATGAATTTGACTCTGTGGCATTATAGTTCTCTTAATTTGCACGACACCTAAAAAAATCTAGAGTAATCTTGAAAATCAAAGAAAAAAAAAACTGCACTTCCTGACGTAGACTTCCTGCGAAATATTAAACTGCATGTGTTTTGATTAAAATAGAATTAAAGTCTATTTGTTTATTTGTTTGGATTATTTTCCTTAATTCACTGTTACCTGTTTAATTGTGCAATTGCATGTTACTGCTTGTTAATGGAAAAGACATAACAAACCACGATGGAGAATAAACTGGGCCTTTGTGTTGGAGAAGAGAGGTTAAATGGCAAAGGCAGTGTGCCAGTTGCAGAACTGCGATTTGACAGATGACAGCAACTCTGTGACTACACTGTCTCACACTGTGTACAAGCTGACAGTAGCCTGCAGCTACGACAGATTAATCAGAGAAGCGAGACAACCTGTAAAGCACTGATAGCGCCACTGTGGCTACAGCAAATTTAATGCCGAACCAAATGCGTAAGAGGAGGAGGAGCATCTCTGCACTAATCGAGAGCAGCAGCAAATGCTGTTTAGGAGATGTTATTTAAGTGGCTGAAAGGCGCGTTAGACGTGGAGGTGGAATGAATCTCACCGTTGTTGATCGGCACTTCCACCACTACCCGTTCCATGTTTCTGTTTGGTGCATCCGGGAACCGCCTGACGTGCACGGTACACGTCCACTCACCAGTACCGGTTCCCTACTGACGTGTAACTCAACTTGGCAGAGAATCACAATGTGGTACCGCTCTTCTTCTTTAGTTGCGCTTACTCTGTTTGACCACAAGATGAAGCCAGAGGACAGCAGGTCGAATGCTGAAGTACGCGTATAGATGACTTCTGCTACTGATTTATCAGAACGTAGTAACAGCATATGGCTCCAGAGAGTACCAAGCGCTCAAAATAGATGATATTTATCAGCCGTGAGATATTGACAAGGGGTATTAATCATAGCCGGCCGAAGGTTGTATTGGCTGCCTCTATTATTAATAACAGACTAATTCTAATTCATGCAAAAATGCTTGTGCAACTGTCTCACAATTTTTTTTTACATTATAAAAAAATTATAATAAAAACAGTGTAGGCAGCAATAATTCATGTCTGCTGAAGGCAAGGTCATAATAACTCAAAAGATGCTTGTAGTGCTATTAGTGACTGTCATTACAATGCATTGTCCATCAAACTGTTTGTACTGTATCAACAGTTACAAACTGTCAAATGAAGCTTATATAACATTTGTAAAGTAAAGTAAAGTGTAAAGTGTGCGTGTTAGTCCCCATAGGGAATTTGTTACATATAGTGAATCAAATTTCAAGTCAATTTTATATATGGTCCAAAATCACAAATCAAATTTCAAGTTTGAGGTAAACTTGTTCCTTCCCTCTATACTGATTTGCTCCTGCGTCTCTATTTCTGCTTCTTTTATGTCCTTATGTTATCCTTAGCATTTTAGAGTAACTCCTAGTTTCCAAAGTCATTATTTAAATGTGACCCAAAGGAGGTATCCATTTCAATAGGAATGTTTAATGCTAATGCAAAACAAAATCTTTCTATACATGTAACAATAGGACCCAAGACAATTAACAGATCTACTTTATTAAATACATGTAAAACTATAAAATTGTACGATCGTAGGTGGAAGACATAATAAGCGCTGCAGGGAATCTATTAAAAACTAACACCATGTGTCACACGTTAAAGGCATGGCAACCTACACCTAAACAGCTATATGTAATATACTCCACACACATTAGCAATGCTCTAACAAACTATAAATACATGGCATTTTGTACAGTAATGTATTGTTAATTATAAAAACAGTATGCAAATACTGAGAGAAAAATAACCATCCATCTATCCATCGAGCCACTTCCTCCAGCTCATCCAGAGGGACACCGAGATGTTCCCAAGAGCCGAGAGATATAATTTCTCCTGCAAGTCCTGGGTCTGCCCCAGGGCCTCCTCCTGGAAGGAATACCTCACCTAAATGGTAAATGGCCTGTATTTGTATAGCTCTTTACTTAGTCCCTAAGGACCCCAAAGTGCTTTACACGTTCAGTCGTCCACCCATTCAAACACATTCACACACCGGTGATGGCAAGCTACATTGTAGCCACAGCTGCCCTGGGGTGCACTGACAGAGGCGAGGCTGGCGGACACTGGCGCCACCGGGCCCTCTGACCACCTAGGAGGTGTCCAGTAGCCATTCTAGTCAGATGTCTTAACCACTTCAGCTGGCTCCTTTCAATGTGGAGGAGCAGCATTTCAGCCACTCTTCAACAAAACTAATTTCTGCAACCTGTTTTTGTGACCTTACTATTTCAATCAATATATGTGACCCAATGACGCCAACAGAACCACATCATCTGCAAAAAGCAAAGATGAGACCCTCCAACAATTGGCTATGCCCAGGTATTCTATCCATAAAAACTATGAACAGATTCAGTGACAGGGCAGCCATGGTGGAGTCCAACACCCTCCAGAAATAAATCTAACTTACTGCCGGCAGTATGAACCAAGCTCTCACAAAAGTTAAACAGGGACTGATTGGCCCATAACAACTGGCCAGACACCCCCCACAGGATAACCAGAGGGACCAGGTTGAATGTCTTCTCCAAGTCGACAAAGCGCATGTAGACTGGTTGGGCACCCTCAAATGTCCTCAAGAGCAGCGGTCCCCCAACCCCTGGGCTGGTACTGGTCCGTGAGTCGTTTAGTACCAGGCCGCAAGAGTTGAGGCTTGGGTGTGAAATTTATGGCTTTCAGGGTTTTTGCTTTTATCGTTAACTCGGTTTACCTGGGTTTTTTCCCGTGTGCTATGAATAAATCTTCCTTTTTTGGTACCAGTACTGTTTTTGTTTCCCTGTATTTATCCGCGACACCTTAAAAGCCGGTCCATGAAAATATTTTTGTACATAAACCAGGGACCGCTGCTCAAGAGGATAAAGAGCTGGTTGTTTCTGCTGGATCAGAGGTTGACTAACAGGTATGCTCTCCTCTCCAGTACCCTGGGATAGACTTTCCCAGGGATGCTGACGAGTGTGATCCGCCTGTAGTTGGAGCACACCCTGCAGTCCTCCTTCTTAAACAGGGAGCCACCACTCCAGTCAGTTTTACAAACCAGTTGTTTTTAATATTTTATGATGGACACAAAGACTCATGAAAAGCTCTCCATGGATCATTAATGAAAATGTTTTGTGGTGTTTATTTTGGTTGTTTTGTGCAGACTGCTCATGTATTGTGCATTTGTAATGTGGTTTCCAGTCTTGGTGTGACCAAGAAGAGGTGTAGACAGCAAGAGGCCACCATGACAGATTCTCGCAGCGATTAATCACATCAGGCCAGCGTTAACCTTCAATGTGGCTGTTAAAGGGTTGAATAAATTCACATACAAATAACCTTGCTGTAAAAGGACTAACGTATATGCAAGGACAGGCAGTCATATTTTGCAAAGAAAGCTCTTTATGGAGATTACAGTAGGAACCCTAAAATAAAACTACTGTATAATAACAATGCTGTAAATGCTACATGCTGTAAAGCTTTAATTCTCCGTAAAATATTTTACAGTAAGAAACTATAGGGCTGTAAATAACACTATATACAAATATAAATATAGGCCATTTAACAAACATTGCAAATTCTTAGTATACCTAACATGCAAATAGAAAAAAACATGAATGAAAAACCAAGGAGTAAATATAGGTAAAGAAACTGCTCTGCTTCGGTTAAGCTTTGTGGCCATATTTAGCATACCCTTTCCAAAAGCCACAGGTAGACCTAATGGTGCTCACACACTCACGCTCTGTCATTGCTACTTGTGCAAGCAAAACCACACTAGCATGACATTGCTGCTGACATAATGTCAGGCAAGTAAACAGGGACCCAGACCTGGCAACCCGCTGCATTGCAATCATTTGATTATTTGGTTGAGGGAGTGCTTTGCAACCACATTAGGAGGTGTGGGGGACGGAAACAGAGGGAGTGTGTAGGGAGGGCTTAGGGGAATGAGTCAGAGTTGCTTTTTATAAACGACAGGAAATCAGTTTCCCATATTAGTTACTTTTGGAGAGCGTTAATTAAACATGGCAGCCTTCCAAGTAAAGGCGCTAACACTGCAAATGCTGTCATTACCTCTGACTTATCGGGCCATTCCCTGACTGAAAGGAGATAACAGGTAATATGAACTGGAAACAATACATTAGTAGCTGGAAACAATATGCAATATAACAGACACTGACTAACAGAGAAAAATGAATAATGTTATCACCAACCGCACATAACCTGTGCTTATACAGTACAAACCATCGCCATGGTTATGCATGTAAAAGAATATGACACAGTCAGGCTGTAGCAGCCTGTGTGCCAGCAGCTGGCATCCTTGGTGCTCAGATGTCAGTGGACTGTTAATTAGCCAGGACACACATTGCTGGTCATGCTGGGATCAAAGAACTTTTCCAGTAAGTGTTTCAGGGAAAAGTGACCACCACAAGAACAACATGAGGAGTTTTTCCTTTTAGCACCAATCTGACAGCTTTCTAAAATGCCTCCTCGCAACTTTTCTTGCTCCATTTAATGACCATGCTTCTGCCATTCACCCATTCTCCCTTTTTCCCATGGTATTATTGTGTGTGTGTGTGTGTGTGTGCGAGTGTTTTGTTCAGTTTTAGCTATTTGTGTCTTTAAGCACTTTGTAACAAACAAGCCTCATAGAATGATGGAAAATATGCCTGGTGCTACGAGTAGAAATGAGACAGACACATTCTACTTTTCTCATCTGGTGTCTAAGTAAGAAATAAATCTAGAACAGTGTAAGTGGTATTTGTAATTGTATGCAGAGGTTTCTTTGTGTGTGCGTGTGTGTGTGTGTGCGCGCGTGTGAACAAGCGACAGAGAGAGAAAGGAAGAGAAAGAAATTGTGGTATCCATGGCAGCAAGTGGGTTTCATTTCCTTTTTGCCCTTTTTATTCAGTGCTACTCATCTACGTCCTTGCAAAGTCACATGCATTACTGAACACTTCAGTCACTGTCAGGCTGCTTGACACTATAATATTCAAGGGCTGAATGTACACATTTAGATTCAGCAGGTGTTCTCGCCATCTTCTGTTCCTCCGAATCCAGCAAAGTTTGTTATCTAGCACGCCCTAATAAATGAGATGAATATGCTATTATAGTTTAGTATTGTTGCTGCAACTGAGCAATGACAGCTACTCTATAGTGCTCATTATGCTGAGGCACAGAAGCAAGAATATTTATATCACTCCACACAAACATTCAATCATTCTCTGTAATTCTCCCTTACAAACAGACACGTGCCATCTCTTCATACACACAGTATCTGTGCCCAAGGCCTGTGTGATTATGACATTTGAATGGCAGGCCTGCCCTTTTCAGGTGGTGCTCACTGAGAGCTGCCCTTGTGAGAAGTCACAGTGCTTCCACTATAGATGACTAACACCGAAGATGAGACCCCTCTCTAACTCTGTGCCCTCCCACTGCCTTTCTCCCTTCTTCTTCAGCTCCTCTGCTTTCAGCCACTTCAACCCTGCTTCTTAGATCATTTTCTCTCTGTGGCTCCCATCCTGTGACACTCTGCCTAACTCAAGACGTGATGTGGTCTCTTCCAAGAATTCTTCACAGAAATTCTTGGATACCCAGTCTGGGCATGTAGCATTCATTTTCAGTTGGTGGGCTGCTTTTATGTCTAAATGTGAAAATTGAAATAGAATAAACATGACAGACGCTCAAAGTCTCAACACAGAAGAAATGAAGGTCTTTGCAGAGCAGAAAGCTTTATTTATCACTGTGCAGCTCAGTCATAGGAACCAACATAAAAGGCAATATCTGCATGAAAAGAAAGGCGGTATGATGATTTCTTTCCATGCGAATTTGTAAATTGGCCTACCTTTACTAACAAAAAGCTTTTGTTCTAGGAGATGGTTCACATCATCATTTCACTTCATATCTCAGAGAAAGAGAAAATGAAGCCTTCATCAGAGTATACTGTCTTCTCAAAAAACTTGCACAAACCCATATTATGGCTAAGTTTACTTGCTACATCATATTTTAATTTGGCTGTTAGAGACAGTATTTCAATAATCATTGAATCCTTTCTGGACTTTCATGACGCCATCATACGTGGTTGCTGAGTGATACATGACCCGAGGCTCCGTGACAGTGCTGAGACTGATCAAAGGACCCAATCACTCAAGTGAAGAGCCAGCTGTATCCATTTCAAAGTCTAGAAAAGAACTGAAAGCTTGCCGAAGAGACATCATTTAAACCAATTAGATAGATTTAGGGGTCTCAAACAGAATCTACTTTAGAGACATGTATCCTCAGCATATCTACATTTCAGCTGAGTAAAACAATCTCATGTTTACTTAATCTCTGTTTTGTAGATGATCCGAAAGAGTGCGGGAGAGTTTCAGATGCTTTGGAAATCCAGAATATTGAAAAAAATAATGGAAGTGGCAATAGTAATTTTATTTCGTTCTCCGCCTGCCTTTCATGATAGCAATTGCCTTTGGATGTGTTACACTTTTGAAGTCTCATCTCTCTGATCCGTCCAACTTTCCTCACTGTTCCATTCTAAAGATGTGGGTTTCCATGGCGACAACTCCTCTTTGCAACACAAAGAGATGCAAGATAGCTTAATTGGTCACTACATCCATGAACCCCATGTCCTGTATATATGACTCATTGTGCACTAAAGACCTTTATCTACAAGACCCCACATCCTGAGAGTACAGTGGCATATGTACGGCTTTGTGTCTCGATATTGAACAACACTGCTGTCATCGATGTCAACTTGTTAGGTGTCACTGTAAATCTGCTGGAAACTTAACAGATTTTTTAAAGGGAATTTTTTAGGTTTAGTCATTTTTGTCAAAATCTCAAACACCAATATGCGCTTTCCTTTTACCCAAACCTGTCTTGCCAAAAGCCACCCTCCTTGAGCCTGGCTAGCTTACCAATCATTTAAGAATAATAGAGAGAGACAGATGACTAACTCTTCCTTCACAAACCACCACTATTCAAAAGGTCATACCTATTTGGATCTAGAGTCAGATCACAGGCAACTTCATCCTGACAGAGCTCCCGATTAATGCCAGATTCATTATTGTAGTGTTCATAATGCAAATAACATTATAGCGGTGTCTAGAATCCTGCTGACTCGTACACACATATTGAGGAGATGACAATAATCATAGTTCAGTGAAGCATCCTGATATAAACCTGTGGGCTATAGTAGTTTTTTTTTCCACTTTTACTTTAAGAGAACGTGCTAACTTACTTACAATGACCAGGGTTATGAGGTTTCTGTCCTTCAAACCCTATGTGAAAATGACAAATAGATACAAATACACTGGGTTGACCTGCAAAGCCAAGACACAGCTAATAAATTAATAATAAAATAAATATAGATGAAGTTGCTTCCTGAATTCCTGGGATGGATAGCTCACTACGCTGTCATTGCTCGACCCATGCTTTAAAGTCCTTCTTGGAGCTAAAAGTGGAAAAAGGAGTCCTGTGGAAGAGCACTGCAGAGGAGCGCTGTCATTTGGCTTTAGTCTACATGATGGAGCATGTAAAGCCACAGCACTCTTTCAGGAGGGTGAGTCCTGTCTTGGTGAGGGGCGAAGATGTCTGCTGAGCCCGGGTGGGTGCCCTTCTGGTTGGCATACCTGTAACACGGTACAGTGAACTGTGTTGTATTTATGTATTGCAAAAGACATCTACATCTGTGTGCACACATACATACACAGCAAGATCAATCACTGTATACTGTATAACTAAGTTAAGACCATAAGTGCATATCCTGATGCATGCTTAATCAACCAACTAAGGAAATTCCTCAGAAACTGATTCTGTTCATCTGGAAGAAGCGAAACCCAAGTGACAGCAGAATGCAGGTTTCCCCAACTAGCTAAGACTGAAGAAGTCATTTGGATGAAACATTTCTCCCACTGAAAAATGCCGCATCCAGATGAACAGAATCAATTTTTTGGGAACATAAATACATACATTTTTCAGTCAGGTCTAAAGCACAGTCTCAGCACACCCATTTTCCATTTTATCAGTCGATACTTTCAAAAAAGACAACATTTCAGCTTTCATGACTGAATACCTGTCTTCTTCAGATTTCTTGGCAATTTGGACTTCAGAAAATCTGCCATTTCTTTATCTTCCTCTTTCTCCCTGTAAAAATGAATACATATGTAATACTACAATTACAAAGTAAAACACAAAAAAATGACAAAGCTGTTATGACCTAAATTTCCCCCTGTTCCAGGAATATTAAAAAGAAAATCTTTTCCACAGGTATTCTTTCATTATCCGAAGCATCCTTAAAAATCAAGAAGGCTGGTTTTTACTAAAGCAGAGAGATGAAACATCCTCCCCAGACACCCACTAGATAAGCGAGCTAATGCACCTCTGGCAGTTAAGATTTCCTGGCAAAGGTTTCTATACGCTTAGTGCATATTAGTGAATGTCGCAGTCTCATTTTGTGTTATTTGAATACAGCCCAAATGCAAATAAGTGTATATAACTTGGATACTTGCAGTGTTTATTGTATATGGATATATATCATATGTATTTAAAAGTGATATCTAATGAATTATATTCAGTTATATTACTATTAATGTCTCAAAGATAAAAACTCTCGGGTAAAGATCACAGAGAGATTTCTCCTGTGATAAACAGTCCTGATTTTATAAAAGTAAAGTAAAATAACAGAAGAGAGAGCTTTATATTTATGAGCATGGACAACGTGGCCTTGGGCGCTGTCACATGCATCCTCTCCTCTCTGCACCCATTAACGCGCTGCCGTTCTCCTTCTTCGTGGCTCTCACCTTCCCAGCAGCCCTGCGGCTATTTCACAGCATGCCGTCAGCTGCCAGCAGAAAGCGCTGCTCAGACAAACTAACAGTGTTTTATACACTGTGAGATCAAACCTAGAAAACATGCTTATTATTCTACACGTGGTTGTCCACTCGCAGGCAACGTTAGGTTTCAAGCTATGCAAATTAAATGTGAAATGTTTGAACCTGTGAGGATGAATATGCTACTCTGGTAGCAAATTCATCCTCACAGCAAAGCATCTGGGTCAACATTTTAAGATGCATTTATTTTCTATTGCTGCAAAATGGACAAACTGGAAGTTGATTACAGTAGATCTCAAAAACAACATGAACTATTTTGACCTATGGTAAGCCTGCTTTAAACTAATAAGCAATGATGATCCACTATGTGTCATTTCCACATCAGTTGGCTCATTAAACCTATTTCTTTCTTTTATTTTTTTTAAATCATCAGGAGCTCCCCTTGCAGAGCTCATTGATGCACCCTGACACATCTTTAATTGAAATGGCTCTCTGCTGTGCGCTCTGTGGGACCCTCTCTGGCAGCAACGCGCCTGAGGAAACATTCAACTTTTTTCATGGGAAGCAAAAGAACTCCTTTGTGGAGACATGCATATTTTGGATGCTGAACTGAGAGAAAAATTTATCAGCATTAGTGACTACTGAGGAGGTGCGAATCTGTGGCTTATCAGTCATTATGAAGATTTTAAGGAGGGATGAAAGATGAAAAAAAACCATATCAAGCTTTTTTCCCTGCATCTACTTCCATGTGATCTGCATATGCATTTGGACTGCATTTTTAATGATTCACTCAGATTTCACGTGTGGAAGTGACCAAAGAACTCCAGTCTAGGCCATCTGTAAATCACTGAGATGAAAGCACACCTGAGACGTTCAAATTCAACATCATCCACGAGGAAATCTCTGGTCTCTACCAGCTTTTGGATCTGCTGTAGCAGCTCTTCCTCCTTCTGCCGGTCATCATTGGACTTGTCATTATCTGGAATAGCATGAAAGAAGACGACATCAGGACTATGTCCCACATTAGCTACTTTGAGTAATATGTTACTGTTTGTGCACGCAGATGAATGAACAGCTAGCTATAATAACACACATGCAAAACTTTTGATTGATCCTTCAGTTGACTTCAATCATTTATAGTTAAGAGTTAAAATGAAACCTATGGAAAAAGCAAGTCGGTATAAAGGCCAGAAGCAAAGGAAACACTTTATCAAGATCATTAAAATGATGCATCTAACATTAGTTGAGTTCTTGATCAACCATCAGTGGCTACGTTATTTATTGTAAATTGTTTGCTTCATCTGTTAATAAAAAACAGCACTGCAGAGCAGGTTTGGAGAGTCAGATAAGATGTCCATAATTATTTTTGCATCCCTGTTGTTTACTTCCATTTGTTTATGCTAAGCCATAATCAAACTTTTAGATAAAGCATGAATATTAGAAATTTCCTGTCCAGCTGTTTGCCCTGGCTCTTTATGCTAACGTTGCTAAGCACTTGCTGGCTTCAGCTCCAAATGTGTGGTAGTGGAATTGATCTACTCATTCTGTTCTTGGCAACAGAGTGAACAAACCTATTCCCCAATATTTCATCATGATTTTGTTTGTTTGTTTGTTTGTTTTGGTCCAATAGCAGCAATCATGAACACCCAAAGGACTTCTACCTGGTATGGACACTAATTTGTGAAGCTCCTTCTTCAGACGAGTAATCTCTTTGCAGAGCTGAATGTCATCCATCCTGTTCAGGCATGATGGCGTAAAAGAAACACATGCACACATAAACAGAAAAAGAGCACTTATGTAAGCACTGCAGATGATGAAAATCACAGCACTTTTTACACTACATGTTCCAACATTACTTGTCAGTAACATATTTTGTTTTTTACTAAAGGCTTTTTCTTGTTTTTTTCACATACATATTGCTTCATCCATATATATTGCTAAACAGAATTCATGGTCAGTAGTTTGCCAGGGTATAATGGTTAGGGTTATATTATTTAAAGACAAACCCACTTAAAGAGCTTATTAGACAAATACAGTTCTCATGTAGCCTGAGATAAAGACTAGTGACTCAGAGAATTGATTAATTCAGTCAGAGAAAGGCTTACTAATGGGACTTTACATCATCATTTAGCAGCAAACAGGTATTTGAAACTGATAGTGTCTCTGGAGTAAAAGCAAGCACTCAGTGCAAAATCCTCCAGGCTCTCCAGAGTTTGTGCATAAACCTTCATCCTGCCCCTGAATGTTCATGATGTTCAGCAAGGCCATTACCATCATTACCATCAGCAAGGAGTCATCGTCTGTAATTACCATCTCACTGGGAAATGAGATAATGACCTCATCAAGACATATGGACTTCTTAAGCAACCATTTTCTGTCATGGTAAAAAATAAAAAGAACTGTGCCTGCTGAACAAAAAACCAAAAACATCTTCACCATACACGAAGCACTACTGAATCCCTGGTTGCCATGTCAATAAAATGAGAAAGAGAAATATAATGTGGTCATCATTATCGTCTGGCCTCAACCCCTGCGAGACGCTGTCGATGACCCTTAAAAGTAGATTTATGGGGATGGACGACCGTATTCAAGAGTAAATTCTTGCTTCACTCCTGAATAGGAAAAAAATGAAATTCAAACAGAGAAAGCTTGTTATTGATCTTATATTTAACAAAGGAGGTGACACAATCTTTCTGAGCAGAAATCCCTGAAGCAGGTCTGAGCCAGATAGCCGTTCTCTGTTTCAGTGACCCTTCACAGAATCAGTGTGAGTGGATCATTACTGATAGTGAAGAGGGATGGAAGCCCCTCCGTGCCTTGCTTGTCAAGCAAGAGGCCATCGCATGAACTCTGTATCCTATGAACAGACTTTTATTACAAACCACACACATACACACAGAAAAGGCTACACACACATTCATACATATTACACACATTCATCACTGTCAATAGAAAAAGAGACTGAACGCCACACTTGTCTACCTGTTATGTCAGATCCCATCCTTACATGAGCATCTGATAAAATGGCCAATGGCCAAGAGATGGCGATTTGGAATGGAAACATAACTTATTAGACAAATAAATAAATAAATAAATCCTGGTATTTGTTTGCATGAGGACCCTTGAAAAAATCTGCTTCAGATTGCTACTCTAGTCTACATGTCCTCCTTATCCACTCTTTCGGTCTTTCAGTCTCCCATTTTTCCATTTGCTTGACTCTTGCTTGCTACTCCACACACGTCACTCCTCGCATTCCCCCTGCCATCTGAGCAGGGCAATTGCCTATCTTCCAGAGGAGTATATGAATAAATATCCATGTATTAGCCAGCTTTGTGGAAGCTGCAGTGGAGCCATTGAAATTGTAATGGGGGTAGTTTAGGGTGTAGCTGATGGGAATTACAGACAAAAAAATTAGAGGAATTATGCCTGAGGTTTTATTTCTGAAACGTGTCCTAAATGATTACACTGCTCTTAATAGGGAAAGCATCACTGCAAATATTATAGGTTGTTTAATTTTTGCACTTATTAAAAACTCTGAATCCTTTATCTTCTTCAGATTTACTACAGAATCTACAAGTTGCCCTCCAGGACTGATGAAGAAAATCAAAAAACTGATTTCAAATAACATTGAGGTGCATTTGAAGCATCTAAACTAAAAATGTACACAGTCATCAAGTTTCAAAACTGACTTCTACAAATCTAATTTAAAATTCTAGTACATCCTAGTAAGTAAATTCATGCCACTCCATCAACCAGTTAAATTTTTTTAGCAACATTTGAAGGGTAAGTTTGGATAGATTGCCATGGAAATTTGGTTTTAAAATGTTTATGCATCAGCAAAAATAGGCCCTAGATTACAAATGCATGTTAACGTAATATTAGCATGATAACAAAGTGTCAACATCACGTTCAAAGGCAATCCTAACCACATCTCAGGCAGACCATTTTCAAAGCTGTGCAGCTTCTGAAATGTGAGCTGAGCCCAAGTTGGATATTTACACTCATGCACCACTGTGCAACCTTCTTGCTCTTATTTTTCTGCTTTGCAGAATACAGAAAGTGCACATTCTTGAATAAGTGACTGCTCTCGGTGCAAATTGTGGCACGATGAACAAAACAAAAAGTATATAAATAACTTTACATTGTCCTCTTTTTATAGGCTTACCATTATACTCAGTGTAATTATCTATTAGATGTAGATTTAAAAAAAGACCCTACTTGTCAATTGTAAGGTTCGATTTCTCATTTTTACACACCTAGTGGTAAAGATTTAACAATAACACAGTTGGATCTCAATTTTTCATGCATTAATTTTACCTTCTGTTGTGCAATTTTAAGCATAATAATATTGACAAAATAAATCATCTGCCAGCTCAACTAAAATCTAACAAGCAATGAATTTTCACACCCACAGCAAACAATGATTTTAAGTCCTCACATGTATCTGAGCTCTGACTCTCTCCTAACCAGGACATCCCTGATCCTCTCAATCTTAAAGAGCTCCCCCTCGATGTCATCCACGGTGATGGTGGAGTCTGCCATGGAAACCACGTCGTCCTCTGAAAGAGAGACAGCGAGAGACTTAGTCTTTCTGAACGCTGGACAAAAGACCACACACTGGAAAAAAACACAACATTCCTAACAAGGCATTTAGATTACAGACTCTTCAGTAGGTTAAAACATGCCACACACAGATTGGTGATGTGTGTGCACACTTTTGAAGATGATCTACTGTGGCATTTCAGAACCATAACGCATATGAATTTGCATTTTAAACTGTATAAACAGCTGCAGCAGAAACTGCTGCTAGATGAGCAGAAGAGCAGAGTGTCACAGCCAAATTACCATGTGTCAGCAGCTGGCACAACTTGCATGGCTGTCGCCCCCACACACACATAACTGTGCATACACACAAACACTTTAATTGCATGATGCGTTAGGCCAGGAAGTAAGGCAGTAAAGCTGTCAACCCCTTCCACTGCAGTTTTGTTTACACTGCCATGTTGTGCTGTACAAAGTCTCTAACTGCCTGTCACTATGCATAAAGAAAAAAAAATACATTCTATTCCATGTTGTTATATTTAATGTTTATTAGTAATATTTCACATAATTTTTTAATTTTGCAGTTGCCTGCTTTTAGAATTTCCACATGTGCTGTTCATAAATAAAGTTTACAATCTGTGGTATGTGACTATGTGATATCCTTGTTTTGCATAGACTAGAATACACGTACAGCATTTAATACTTTTGTGTGTGCTGTGCTTTAAAGACATTTAATAATTAACTGCTGGCCGCAAAATAACTTACAATGAACGCTAATAGGAAGGAACAATGAAACAATTCTCAAATTATTTTTACAACATGCTGAATTTGTGGCATGTTGTAGCACAGAGATCCTTGATGACTTCCAACAAAAGCCTGATGGCTGATATATAAATAAAAAATAAATAAAGCACGGCTGTGAGGAAAAACACTTTAAGGGTGTTTATTTTGCATAGTTTGCCCACCAGAGGGCATTCTGCAACTTCCTTGCTGGCCACGCTTGTGGAAATGTAAACATAACAACCAGCTGGTCTGAGTAAATGGTCTGTAGCGCTTTACTTGGTCCTAAGGACCCCAAAGCGCTTTACACTATACACAATCATCCACCCACTGGTGATGGCAAGCTACAGTGTAGCCACAGCCACCCTGGGGCGCACTGACAGAGGCGAGGCTGCCGGACACTGGGGCCACCGGGCCCTCTGACCACCACCAGTAGGCATCGGGCGAAGTGTCTTGCCCAAGGACACAACGGCCAACACTGGGAGCTGGGGCTCGAACTGGCAACCTTCCGATTACAAGACGAACGCCCAACTCTTGAGCCACGATCGCCCCCAGTAAAGTCGCAGAGCTCTATCGTTTTATTGGCACTTGTTGTGACAATAAAACAAGTTAATTTTTGAATTGCACTGTTATAATATCTTAGCAAGGAGTCATATTCAGTATCTTATTATTACTCCTATCCTATTCCAGTGTTTTTATAAACATATAATAAACATAATAATAAAGGTTATCTTATAACTAACATAATAAATGTTGGATTTCAGGTGTCTGAAAGAAATAAGAAGTAATTGGCCAACATATCAGCTTGTTAAATCACCAAATATCAGTACAGGTATCGGTCTAAATAATCTGACATCTGGCAGGCTCTAGATTTATCATAAGAAATCAACTGTTAAAACATTAACCCACAATAAAAAATTGCAAAACTTGCTGAAAATAGACACAATCTGTCCCAAAGCATCCAGAAAATTTTGTGTGGTACAAAAAGACAGTACTTCATTGAGAGCAGCTGCTGTACACTGTGAGCAGCAGAAGCAGCTTCACTGAACTCAACCAATAAGCAGCTGCTAATTCAAACATTAAACTGCAACAAATTTCTATCAAAACATTTATTTTAGCCATGTAGATCAGAAAACACAGGGAAAAACCTAATACAAATCTAAGCTGACCTTTTTAAAAGTAGATGGCTGAAGACCGACAATGACAGCTACTGTGACTTTATAACTGAAACAGGTCACCTCTTGTCTTGAGTTGTTCCTTTTATCAGTGCAGCGGTGCTGGACACCTGTCACTTCCCTGCAGCGAGCAGCCTTACATTATGGGCTGAGAGGAACACAGCCAGGGAGATACCACTTCTGACAGTCTGTCCCTGTTACCTCCCGAGGTCATTAAAGTCTTTCTATATACACACCATCACTCAGTGGAGCTTTATTATGGAATCTCTATTCAAGCCTCAATTAGCCCTGGGGTGGGGCAGAGCTGTCTAGGTTCAAAGTGCAGTGAAAACACTTATTCTGCACTAGCCTGACAAAAAAGCAGAATAGAAATTCAAACTCCAGGGTGACTTCAGGGTAAAAGCATTAACCATACTTCACGATAACTGCAGGTTTACATGGACTCACATTGCTATGAAAGATTAGCTTGTTTTGTTTTGTTTTTTGTTGCATAAGAGACATCTGTGCGACATCACAGATGTGCGACTGGTCTTTTGTGTTTCAATATAATCATTTTTTCCCCCAGCAATTTGGTTCTACTGTCTTACTTAAAAACTGTAAAAACTAGAAATTTGTGTCATGAGGTTTCAAAAAAAGCATTTTGACCTTTGAGCCAGTGTGCTTTCTCACTTTATTTCCAACTATAGAGAATAGGAACTACTCTAATGACTGTCTATGGAGCCAGGAGGCAATTAGCTCAGCTTATAGCTAACACTTGAAGCGCAGGGAAATCAGTGTTTAACTGAAGCAATCTGTTTCAGTCTCTTTACCTGCTGTGCCAACTGTGCTCTTCTTGTTAGCAAAATTACAGACATGAAATGTCTGCAGTAAAAAGGTGACGCTGGATTGTAAAAAATTTAAGTTAAGTGTTCAACCTGTTTTTTCATCTTTTTGACATGTTCACAGCAGTGTGTGCATTTTTCCAAACATTTAGTGAGGCCATTAGCTTTAAGTTAGAAAGCTTTATTGTGGCATGATCGGAGGACTTCACACTTAGTTTTGGGGGTTTAGGTTTCAGTTAGGTGTAGGTAAGTGTTCAGTTTTGGTTCTTAGATGGGATATATAAGGTTTAGATATGGGGATTAAAAAGTGTGTTATTATGGCATAGAGGCAAGTGAAAGAAAAACAAAATAGTCACTAACAGGACACAGCAGAGTATTTAATCAGCTGGTCACCTGGGTTTTACATAAATGAAATGCAATGTTTTAACGTTCACTACTCTGCTGAACTTTCAGAAATCTACACTCCTACCTTGAGAGCTTCCCAGTCTCTCAATCATTTTCAAACACTGTTTAAAACCTACTTATTCTCACTCTCTTTCAATTCTAGTTGAACAGGGCACTCTGACTTGTATTAACACAGCCTTATTTAGTTTATTTGATCATTTTTAGTGTATATTTACTGTTGATGTAGTGATGTATGAATACAGTACAGCACTTTGGTCAGCTGACATTATTTTAAAATAAGCTACAAAAATAAAACTGACTTGTCACAAAAAGACATTGCAGCCACTTTGAAGATAAATATTACAGACAATTCACTACATGTATGTCTTCTCAAAAACTCGCTGAAGCTTCTTTTTTAAACACGATTATGGATTTTCCTATCTGGGTTAAACACTATAATGTGTCCTGATGTCGTGAAAAACTCTTGGGTTGCTTTTGTAGTGTGCTTTGGGTCATTATCCATTTGCACTTTGAAGTGTGTCCAATTAGTTTAGCAGCATTTGGCCAAATCTGAGCAGAGAGTATAGCCCTGCACACTTCAAAAATCATCCTGTTACTTCTGTCAGGAGTCACATCATCAAAAAACACTCGTAACCTGATCCCACTGGCGTTACAAGCCCAAGCCATAACACTGCCTCCACCATGTTTGACAGATGATGTGGTATACTTTGGATCAAAGATGTACTTTTCTTTTTGCATCATTATAGTGCAAAAAAGGACTTATTTTCAGAACTGCACAGTGTCTTTTACATTTTTTCCTGACAAAACCTAATTTGGTCTTCCTGTTCTCATATATAAGCAGTGGTGTGCACCTCGTTGTAAACCCTCTGTATTTCCATTTGTGATCGTGGGCCTTTACAATGGTACGTCCACCTCTTGACTTGGTTAAATGTTGTGAAGTTTTTTTTCTCAACCACGGAAATTTCTCTGTCACTATGAATAGGGATTTTCCCATCTGTTTTTAACACTGTATCGTATCCTGAGGTCAGATCTATTATTACATGGGTTGTTGACAAGTCAAATGCCCTTTGAATTATATCATTAGACACAATATGCTCTGCTGTAAAGGCTCTCTAAGACAAGTAATTTTGCCACTGAGCAGTTATGACTCATCACTCGACTTCCTTTACACCTTCTCTCCGTTCTCTCACTCTCACTGTTAGTGTTTCTCATCTGCCTTTGCTTCGCCTCACTCTGTATCTCTCCTACTCTGCCCTGCCCTTCTTTTCATCTAAACCCCTAAAGATGTGAATTAAATTATGAGCTCAGTTTTACTCTTTTCTTTGACTCCAACTTTCTCTCTGCCCTGATACGTTCTATCCCTAATGAGGCAAACCATCATACTGACAGACAGATCAGCCTGATTAGAGACCCCAAGGCAAACACAGAGGAGAGAGAGGTGGGAAAATCATTTAGTGTAGAGGAAAAACATAGAAGGCTTAACAGAGAGTCTGCAATAAAAAAAGACATTACAATAAAAAAATAAAAATAAAAAAAAAAAAACAGAAATGCTGCTAATTAACAGTTAAAGTCACTTTCCTTGAAAATAAATTTGCACTTGCCTTTTTTTCCATTCATTATTTGAGTACTAGACTGTTATTCAGACAAATCAAGTCACTGGGCATTATTAATGATTATTAAAAATTGAATTAATGTCATAAAGAGGCGTAAATGAGTTATCTTTTTAGTTACTAATAGATGATGCCAGCGTCATGCCAAGACCCACATGTGGGCTATTATTCCTTATTTGAATAGCTGGTCTCTAAGTAACCTCACCTTACTTTTAATTAAGCAAGGAAACAAACAGGCACACACACACACACACACTGCCACTCAATAGACACCTGTGGATTCTTGACATTTTCTGAGCTGCAGCTTGTTCTGCTACTGGATAAATACATTGATCTGATCTATCAGTGCTGAAAACGCTCCCAATTAATTGTTAGGGCCTATTATTGTGTGTTTTACAAATTTACCCATATATTTAGATTATATAGTTGTATAAACACAAGAAATAAACTTTACATAATGCATGTTTGTCAAACCAGGAACGTATGCTAATAAGTGCAAAACGATATAAATATATGACAATGCTGTTTTTTAATATGCTCGATACATTAAATTATTACATTCAATCTGTTTTTTTTCCTTTTGTGTGTGTACAAAGCTAATGAGGTCACCACAAGTTCACCAAACAGTTAAGACAGGAGACACTATTTGTAGCAATGCAATGCTAATGAGAACATTTCACACTAAAATGAATGCACAGAATTTAGTAATGCTGCAGTAAACTCAAAACACATACACACTTAAGACGTCATTTAAACGTGACTGACATTATCGAAAAGTAATTATAAACCAGCAATTGTTTACTAGATAACCTGCTTTGTGGGTGTCTCTGCTCCATTCAGTGCGCTCCAGTGAACCGTACTGATGCTTCTTATCCATCGGTCCAACAGCTGCTCCTCTATTCTCTGTGCTTCCAATCGCAGAGGCTGGGGAACAGCAAAGACAGCTACAGGGGAGGGTCTCGCAGTTGTTGTGCTTCATTAAGTCATCGCCAGTCAGTCAACAACCTGCTGAGGCAGAGACAGCGAGATGCTCCAGTGATCTCCACCCGCTCCGACAGGTGACGGTGTGCGCGTGTGTGCGTGTGCGCGGTTGCAGCCTGCTTGTGTTACTACCTGGTCAACGCAAACGCGGATTTGATAGCAAATAAATAGCGACATCTGGTGGCACGTGGTTTCAATTACAGTTGGAGCCACAATTTGTCTGCCTCTGCACACCATCACAGTGGGTTTATCATTGAAACAATCGATATGTGATCGAAGCCCAGACTTTTAGATTAAATTAAATGTTTTAGAAATTACAACGGTTTCCATAAATAGTTCTCCATTTTCAGAGGCTCAGAATTAATTGGATAAGCAAACATACTTTCAAGTGCATGGATCATTTTTATTTCTTTATTTATTTCCTGGTCATTAATTCCAAAAATCAGTTATGCTTATGTTGTATCTTCTGCTAAATTCTTATTTGGTCTTCCTGTTCTTGGGTATGATTAGTGGTTTTTCACCTTGTTGTGAACCCTGTTGTTTATTTCCATGAAGGCATTCATTCGTGAATGAAGGCGTCTCTTGACTGTAATGATGATGATGATACACCTACCTTCTCCTCGTCTTAATTTTTTTTTTAGATGCTATGAAGTCTTTTTTCTTAACCATGGAAATAATTCATCATTTCAGCTGCCTTTTGTGGTCTTTCAGGCTGTTTGGTGTTGCTGAGCTGGTCATTGCAGCTTTTTTTTTCAGCTTTAGTGGCGACAATCTTCGCTTTCCCAAAGGTTCTCTTTGGAACTGATATTTAAAATTACAGTGAAAAGCATTTTTTGAATGACTGCTTCACAATAAAGCAAGGGAAGACGTCTCAGGTGGCGATGAAACTGCTAGTCGATTAATTTTGAACCTCTGAAAATAGGGGTTTGTGTATAAAAATGACTGTAATTTCTAAACAGTTAATGCAAACTTTTTGTATAATCCCTTGAATTAAATCTGGCCGACTTTGACCAACAATCTATGCACATAACACTGTAAATCCCCCGTGGTTGTTATAAGAATCCAAGACTCCAAGTTAAAAAAAACTAAATTTATTTTACACGATCACGGTTATTTACACGATCACGGTTATTTACACAATTACATTTGGAACCATACTTAATATATGATATATAAGAAAATAATGTGCAAAATATATCATGATTTTCAAACTTGTGATTTTACCCAGCAATGCTATTTGACACACATACACACACTTGATTTTTTTTTTTGCCACATACATAGTAACGCATCATTTCCATTTCCTGAGTTTGAGACCTTTGCCCCCCAGACTCACACCTATAGCCACACAACCTTTTTGCATAAACATCTGAAGCAATGATTGTGTCAGATCTCAATCAGCCATACATCTAGAACTCAGAGCATATCATATGATGACTGCATGTCACACGAATGTTTCTACAATTATGACATATACAGTAATTACAATTACACAGTAACATGTTGTACACCTCACACAAAGTTTTTCCTAAAATAAATTGATCAACAATTATGCAGTTTTAGTGCAACTTATCTACTTCATCTAACACAGTGCAGTACGTGGATTGGTCTTAGGGGTAATTTTCACACTTCAGTAGACTGGAGACATTTACTGACCACTGTTTAGCTGTTTGTCACATACATTACAAGGCAGGCAAACTGTAATCTGTCACTTCTGTTTGGTAGACAGTAGCTGTGCGTGCTGTTTTTTTTTTGTAGTAATATCTGACATTGCACATTGTTTTAGTTTTTACAGTGTGAGTCTAGAATTCAAAAAAGTTCCCAAACACTAAACCAAAAACTACAGTAAACAGTAGCACCCTATTAACAGCTTACATTATGTAACATGTATATGGATAAAAAGGTATTTGAAAGATTGTGTCAGGACAAAAGCAAAGGGAACGACAGCTGTCATCGTACCAGCTTTTCAATAATTTGAATATTTCAGTAGGTGACAGGTCATGTTTGTCAGCATTCTTGTGTGTATACTGTGTGTGTGTGTGTTTGTGTGTGTGTGTGTCAAAGAAGCAGTAAACGGTAGTGTCTATGAAGTAGAGCAACTGTTACAAAATCAGATCTGCTCCACTAAGTGATAGCTTTTTGAAGCAAAATTTCCAGATTGCTGAGTTTTTATTATGCCACATGACTGTTGATCCAAATACTCATCAGCTACGTGCTTTTGCTTGTTGCTGATCTCTCCACTGTCAGAGACAACATTGTACTCTGGAATTATTCCGGCTGGCACAGCAGGATATTCAAAAGGAATGAACACCGTCAGGTTTAATCATAACCTGCAGTAAAAAAAAAAGTTGTCCTGTGACTATAAAAGCAGCCTACAGGTTATTTCATTAACTGCAAAAGTTGACACTAGTACTGCCAGTCAATGTGCCAGTCATTTCAGATTGGCGGAGTGAAACTCTAGTTTCGGAAGCAGCTCATCATGACTCAGAGGTGATTTCTATTCATTTGCTGGATTAGATGTTTAAAAGAGAGAAAGGTCATTGCCACTGCCACAACTACTAAAAGTGTCTCTGTGGGGTCACTTCATAACATCAGTTGATGATGCCAGCAAATGTATTAATTGGCAGAGGAAGTCCTTTGTTCATGTACTTGCTCAGTCCAGCATCTTTATCCTCTTCCAACTTGTATTTGGACCTCATTGTTTTCTGGACACAGTATCCTGGATCCACACAGGGCGAGACCTCGATGCTAAAACAAAAACATATTTAACATGGAGATCAGTTTGGACTGCGTGGAAACTAATTAGCTCCCGAACCAACTGCAGCTCTCTTTTACCAACTAGTACTGTTGTAGTTGTTAGCAATGTAGCATCACACATTTTTTCCCTTTACCAATGAGACACCAAGCAAAATACACTGACAATACAACTTAGACTACACTCTTTTACCTCTGCACATTTCTGTAGGTCCTGGAATCATCTCTGTCCAGTATAACAGTGAAAGAACGTCTCTCCAAAGTGCGAATTTTAATGTTGCTGGTTCGAAACTTTGGCGGCTCCTGCAAAATAATGCACTTTGTTAAAAAATATTTGCATATATATATCTAT